TGAGACTTCCCCCCATTACTCATCTCTTCTTCATACCTTAAAGCCTCCTTCTCTGTGGTTATTAAGGTGAGAAGACATGCTTCCTCTCCCAGATGGGCTACAGAGCTGTGGTTTTCTTTCCCCTGAGGCAAGAGATGTGAGAACTGGCCAGAGCTGGACAGGGAAATTGGTTCCCCGAGTGGACGCTGGCATCTCTGTCAGTGGCTCCCAACCTAGGGCAGCTCTGTCACCACAAGGGGTATTTGGAAATGCGTTGTCTGTTAGGTGGGCAGACTGGCTTTTGTCCCTTAATTTTTTTTTTTTAATTAGACTTTATTTTTTAGAGCAGTTTTAGGATCCCGGCAAAATTGAGTGGAAGGTACAGTGAGTTCCCATCTACCTGCTGCCCGCACATGTGCACAGCCTCCCCCATTATCAACATCCTCACCAGGTGGTGCATTTGTTACAGTTGACGAACTTGACACTGGATTGTAACGCTTGGGTCCAGGGGTGCTGAATACACCGCCCGGCACAGCCCTCACCTTGCGCCAGCGCCAGCCGCAGCCCTGCGGGGGAGCACGGCTGAACTCCATCACAGACAGGGGTCTCCTCTCCCGTCCTGGGGAGTGATGGGGCTGTGTCCTCTCTGCTGGCTTTTATATTAAGGACTGTGGTTTATGGGAGAGCGGGGTGAGTAGGGGGCCCCAGGGACCGGAGAGCGGGCACTTGAGGGGAGCACTGAGCAGCCCTGGGAAGAAGAGATGCCCAGTCTTACCAGTCACCTGTCTCAGTGAGTCTGATGAGGTGACCCACTCTTGTCCCCATTCTTAATGGTTAACAGGAACATCTTTCCAAAAGGGTCTCAGGAACCTGCAGCTGAAGGCAGCTGCTCATGCGGAGGGTGATGCGCCAGGACTGGTCAGGTGTCCCTGGGAGCACAAGCCCTTCCCCGCAAAACTGCACTTCTGTGGAGGCAGCGCTGGGTAACGGTGACAAACAGGCTCTGCGGCCAGACGGTCGGTTTGAATTCCAGCATCGCCACACCTGTGCTCGCTCGGGCAGGCCCCTGCTCAGTGCCTCAGTGACCCCATTTGTGGAATGGGGGAAATAATAGCACAGATCTCACAGAGGCATCATGAAGTTCAAGAAGTTACGTGTACAGAGCCTGGTACAGGGAAGCACTCAGCAATAAACATAACTATGGTGATGGTTCCCCCACGAACCCCTCAGGCCACTGTCATTTGGTGTTCTATCCACCATTCTGTGCACATTGCTCTCAGCAGCCACCGCCTCATCGTCGAGCACAGTGGCCTGTTGTCTCATCCCGCTTGGCCTCTGCATGTGATGCTCTTGAGCGGCTAGAAATCTCCTCCTTCGGCTTGTAAGACAACAGCCTTTTCCAATTCTCTTCTACTTCCTAGCCATTTCCTCTCGGCCCCCTGTCCACGCGCCCCTTCCTCTGCCCGCATGCTAAGTACCGGGTTCTCCAGAGCT